AGAGAATGAGGGAAACCTGTAAGAGCTCAGCTTGGTTTGCTGGACTCCTCTGGAACAGGCAATCTGAACACGTGAGGGGGCGGAGGTAGGCAGAGGAGACCACTCCCATGAAGTGGCCACCCTTTATTTACCTTGAACACAGTCTTGGGAACAGACTCAACTACCATGGATAGTATTGGCCAATATGCTTGTGACCCTCCAGCTGTATGATTCGTGTGCCTGGTGCCTGTGGGAAAACCCTAATGGAGCACGAGGTGGGGAGCCACTCTGAGAATTAATTTTATACATTCTCCAGCAGCTGGAGGAAGAATGTATAACCAACTGAAAGGCTGAGTATGGCCTTTACTGTTCATTGAAACTGGCTACATAAGCTTTCAGAGAATGGCACACACTTACCCTGTTTTAGTTTTATTCTCCTTAGACTAGCAACACATCCCAGGTGAGGTGTTGGTGATTCCACGATGAGTCCTCGGAGGACTCTTCAGAGAAGGCTGGAAAGGGTAGTGTTTGAGGCCAAAGGCCCGGCCCCTCTGAAGTCGCCATATCCTGGGAGCAACATACACTCGATCCATCTACTCTCCCCCAAGAGCCACTTGGGCTGCTAGAAGCAAAACCAAAAAGGAAGAAGGGTCCTTCTTGCCCACCTTGTCGAATGATGGTGGTTGGCTCCCCGCCATGCAGACTGGCTCTCCCAATGGAAGGCTCACTGATGTCCGTCCAGTAAACCACCTTGTCCACACAGTCGAAGGCCAGTCCAATGATGACTTTATCCTGGAAGTACAGACGGCGGTGAGAGGGGCCCACCCACCAGCACCTGAGTGACCTGTGACGGTGGGAACTGCATGTGCTTTTGTGCCTTCTTCTAGCAAGTGTCTTTAAGACTTGTGTCTGTTTTAAGACGTTTATTATTGAGTTGTAGGAGTTCTTCATAGATTTCAGAAAAAAAATCTCGTTATCTATATATGCCTGTGTGTTTGTATATTTTCTCAGTACACAGATTACTTTCTCATTTTCTTAATGGTGTTTTTGAAGAGAAAAAGGTTTTTATTTTATTAAATCCAACTTATTTTTATTTTTTCTTATGGTTAATGCTCTTTGTATATTACCTAAAAAAATCTTTACCGACCTGAGTATCATTGAAAAAAGAAATATAAGATATAAATATTGGGAAGGAAGAGGCAAATCCACTCTATTCCAAGACAATATGATTGTTACTGCAGAAAATCCTGGGGAAATCTATAAAACTATTATAACTAATCATTGAATCTAGCAAGGCTGCAGTATACAAGGTCAATATAAACTGTACTTCTACTGGCAAAAAATGAAATTTGAAAACAATAATGTTTACAATAGCATCAAAAACAAAGTATTTAAGGATAAATATTTTTAAATGTGCAATATTCGACATGGAATACTATAAAACAATGCAGAATGAAGTTAAAGACTCAAATAAATTAAGAGATAAATTAGTTGAACAAACTAAGATTTAATATTGCTAACAGACCAATTCTCTCTAAACAGAGTTAAAGATTTTCAGTGCTATCTTTATTAAAATCCCAGCAGGCTTATTCTGGGAGGGGAGGGTGCAGAAGCTGACAAGCTTACTCTAAAAAGTGTACAGAAGTGCAAAGTGAGGCTCTGGGACCACAGAAGCAGAGGATGGGATGATCTTTCAGTGGGAAAATCAGGGCTATCAACAGACACTTGTCCCTCAAGAGGGCAGGTCAAAAAAGGGCAGAGAGACCCGTACCTTCCACCACACACAAGAGTTAACTCAGAATGAACCAAAGGCCTTGATGTAGGAGCTAAATTATAAAAACTTAGGAGAAAACACAGGGGGAAACCTAGTAACACTGGATTTGTCAATGATTTCTTGGATATGACATCAAGAACAAAAATAGATAAATTGGACTTTGTCAAAATTCAAAACATTTGAAAATAAAAGGACACAATCAACAGAGTGAAAGGCAACCCATGAAAGGGGAGAAAATATCTGCAAAACAGGTATCTAATAAGGGGTTACCATCTATAATATATAAAGAACTCGTACAACTCAATAATGACAACAAAAAACACCCCAATTACAAAACGGGCAAAGGATATGAATAAACATTTCTCCAAAAAAGATACACGAATGGTCCTCAAGTGCAGGAGAAGGTACTCAACATCACTAAGCATAGAGAAACGCAAATCAAACCACAACGATACACCATTTCACATCTATCAGGACGGCTACTACTGAAAAACAGAAGATGGTAAGTGTTGGCAAGGTGGCAGAGAAACTGGAACCTTTGTGCTCTGCTGGTGGGAATGTAAAATGGTGCAGCTGTCAAGGAAACAGTACGGCAGTTTCTCGAAAAAATTAAAATAGAATTACCATAGGATTCAGCAATTCCACATTGGGGTTATATCCAAAAGAAGGGAAAGCAGGCACTCAAGCATTTGTGCACCCATGTTCATAGCAGCACTACTCACAACAGCCAAAAGATGGAAGCAACCATGTCCACTGATGGATGAACGAACACAATGTGGCATGTCCATGTAACAGAATACTATTCAGCCTTAAAAAGGAAATTCTGACACATGCTACAATATGGATGAACTTGAAGACAATATGCAAAGTGAAGTAAGGCAGTTACAAGAGGACAGATACTGTGCGATTCCACTTACATGAGATGCTTAGGGTAGGCAAAGTCATAGAGACAGAACACAGAAGGGCGGTTTTTAGGGGCGAGGGAAAGGAGGGAAAGAGAGCTAGAGTTTAACAGGCATAAAACGTCCGTTTGGGATGGTGAAAAGTTGTGGAAACACTGTGATGATGGTTGCATGACACTGCAGAAGTGCTTAATGCTACTGAGTGATACCCTTGAAAATGATGAAGGTGGTAATAAACAGATAAATACAAAGGACACAGTGGCTAGTCACCCTGCATGTCAGTACCCTCCCACCTCCATTTCTGCTTTTCAGAGCCTCACAGCCTCTCCCCTTGGGTCTTAGGGGAAAATGACTTTCCCAGAGAACTAACTTGTTCTCACTCTGAGTGTGCTGGAGGCTACACGGGAAGAGAAGCGACCACCCTTGGGGGTTTGTTTCACGAGGCAACAGGAGAACACCAAGATCACTCACACTTCGTTAGCAGATACTGCCTGAGTGCCGAGCACCGTTTGGAACCCCACCGTGAAGAAATGCCTCCAGGACCGGATAGGCAGTTTTATATTCTTGGTGGGAAGGTGCACGTCTGATCCAGAGCACACACACTGACGTGTGCATCAGTAGTGCTGAGAGTGTGATGAGACAAAGCAGGACAAGGAGACAGCGCTGCCAGACAGGCTTCTCTGAGGCGGGCCTGACTACCCTGCTTGTTTCTCCAGGCCTCCCCATATCACCAGGTGTGACATGCCAACACTCACCGGGACATGCAGCAATGCCTTGGCTTCCATCTTCTTCATGGTGCTTCCCTCCAGCGGAAGGCGCTCTATCTTCCCAGCCTGGGCAAAGAGTAAGTGGGTTCCAGGGGGCAGAGGGATCACGGCGGGAGGAACTGAGGGTCCATGGTGAATCGGAGGAGCCACTGTGCTCAGACCTAGGGCGTAGGAGAGGTCAGTGAGCAAGGCCTGAGTGCAGCAGGAATACACACATGCACACACACATGCACACAAACCCACACACCAGGTCACGTCACCTTTGGGCACCACACACCTCAGGCACACAATGACCATTTTATATCTGAAAGCAGGGGAGCAAAAAGACCTCAAAGGGCATTTGTGAAGATAACACAGGGCTAGGTGTAACATTAAAGGTCAAGTCAAGAAAAGGTCTGGCCTCTCCTTACTGGAAATGGAAGCCACCTCACTGTGCACGCCTGCTTCGGATGTGGGTGACAGTGAACCCAACAGTGGCGCACGGCGCCCCACCCACAGGGAGCTCACCCACAGGGATGGCTGCTGAGCTCTGTAATGAAGACTGTCAGAGAGGATTGGCTTACGTGCAGTTTCAGGGTGGGCAGTCTCAGACCCATGGCAGCAAAGTGCCCCTCTGGGCTTGCCAGAGCGTGAGGACCAGGGATGATTCTCCCTTGGGCTAGGCCTTGCCTCCTAACTACTGGCCCTAATGCCGCGCATGGCTCCCTGGCTCACCTGACAAGAGTGTCCCAGGAGGGGACAGGCAGCCTGTGCTGCAGGGTAAGGGGCACAGAAGACATGTCGAGAAACCTGGGTCCCACTGCTACGGCTGTCACAGAACCAGCTGCAGAAACCTCCAAAGCTCTTTGCTCTTTGAATCCTAAATGACCTGGTACCTAACGGGCCCAGGGCACAACTAGAAAGGAGTCCAGTGTCCCAGGGTGAGAACTGTTCCCACCACCTGAGGAAGCAAGGCCCTGGGTTTCTACCATGCCTGCAATGTCCCAATGCAGAGACATTGGGAGGCCAGGCCACCCACTGCAGGGTGTTCACCCCGGGACACACGCCCTCTCTGCTATCAGCATGGCTGCAGCAGAGCCACCAGTCATTTGCACAGAACAGGAAAGTGAGAGCGCGACGAGGGGGGAGTGATAGAGAACAGTGAGGAATGCTGAGGGAGACAAAGAAGAGGGGTGAGAGGAGAGAAACGGAGGGAGGCAATGGGGTTCAAGCCAGGGGAGCTTTCAGGATTTGGGGCAGCAGAAAGCGCCACCTGTGTCTTCGGCAGGGCCCCACTGCGGTGTTCACAGGCACTCGGGTCTCTGGTCCTCAGGCCTTTCTAAGGCCCAAGTCCAAACACGCACTGCCCCCAACTTACAGGGGGGCCTCATCCCGGACCTGGTCCTGGTGCCCTCCAGCTCACGGCCGTCGCGGTCCACGCACCAGCAGTAGCCGGAGCTGCCATGGCACTGGGTGGGCACATAGTACCCGTGCTCGTCACACTCAGGGACAAACAGCCCCAGGGGTAGGGGTTGCTGTGGGCCAGCCACCCCCGCTGTCCTGAGAATGTGTTCTCGCTGGAGCTGGCAGCGGGTTTTCTCCGCTTCTGTCAGAGACAAGAAAGGGGACATGTCAGCTGTGTCATCGTCAGGGGTTCACTGCAGAAGAGCTGCGTGGTCACCACTGGATCATGTTTTACTAACTTTTTAAAATTTAAATGATGCATGTTATTTAATGGACTTAATAGTCAAGAAGATTGTGTTTACATTTTCTTCTCTCCTGGGCAATTTTTCTTTTCAAGATTGAGGCAAAATTGACATTAACACAAAATGAATGATCTTAAGTGATGAATTCAACAGCATTTAGTAGTCACAATGCTGTGTGGCCACCCCCTCTATCTAGTTCCAACACAATTCTTCCAGCAAAGGAAACCCCACATCTCCTGAGTAGTGGCTCCCATCCCCCCAACCTCGCCCCCCAGCAACCACCAATCTGTTCCGTGGCTCAGAATTTACCTGCTCTGGACACTTCACATAAGTGGGAACACACAACATTTGAGTTCTGTGCCTGGCTGCTTTCACTCGACAGAATGTGTTCAGGCTAATTCAAGTTGTAGCCATGTTATCAGTACTTCCTTCCTTTCTGTGGCTGAACAACATTCTATTCTGTTTGTCCACTCAGGAGTTATAGACAGCCCTGAAATTTGTTTTAAATTTTTCTTTTAAGTTTTTCTTGAATTTGTCTTTTTTTATCACTCAAGCTTCTGGACTACCCACAATTAGTCACAAAGATTTGGGGACTAAACACACAGGGCACAGTTACCAATACAATATGTATGTTTCCCTTCAATGACACACTCATGTTTGGCACAAAACATGGCCTCTTAACTGTGCGACTCAGACCCCAGAGCAGGAAATACTTCTGACTCTGCGGGGAATTGCTGATAACAGCTATGGCCTGGAATAAACAACTCCGACCCCAGGCAGAGCTGCAGCTGGTTCCACACAGCTCGAGTCCGGCCATCACACGGCCAGGCCAGCCGTGCAGGCACCGGCGGGAACCCTGACTACATTCACCCCAACGGCACCCTATAGCTGCCAGTCTCTTCCAGGCCTTTCTATGTGCTATTCACTGTGCGTGCCCCCACCCCCCAAGTTAATCCTTCAAACTCGGCTTTGGCATTTCCTCCCTTCCTCCCAGGCCCCGTAGGCTCCTCCACCAGCAGCTGTCACAGGGACACCTCCTGCCCAGCCTCCCTGGGCAGACTCTAGGCTCCGAGCGCAGCAAATGACTGCATCTCCCTCACCTGGACGCAGGCAGCACCTGCTGGGTGGAGTGGAGATGCACAGGGAAGGGCCCACAGGGCAGCCCTCAGGAGCTCGCAGTCTGGAGGGACCAGTGAACACAGGTACAGTCCAGCCAGAGAGTCCTGACAGAAGGGCCAGCATAGGACAAGCAGGAGGGGTGGGACTCCACCTGATGTTCCTGCTAAGGGTCGCAAGTCAGTATTTTCGGCTTTGTGGGTCATATGGTCTCTGTTACAACTACTCAACTCCACGGTTATAGAACGAAAGCAAGAAGTTCAATACATGAATGAATGTGTTCCCATAAAACTCCATACAAGTGGGCACAAGGCCAGATTAGGCCTGTGGGGACTGTACTTGTCAACTTCTGCTCTAGGGCATCACAGATATGTAGGGGAAGTTTTATACGAATATACTAATTCATATGGCATCATGTTACTATATTAGTGTGTTAATTAATATATATACTATAATAATGGAGTATATTTCACAGAATTTTTTCTCTGAGAAATATTTGATTCCTGGTCCCAGCACGCCAGGTGTTGCCTCGGGCAGGTCAACAATGCTGGTTAGGCTGCGACCCCAGTGCAGGAAGCGACGGCAGCAGCAACGGACCCCACAGCCACGTTCTGAGGGGGTGAGTGGAACATGACCAGACAATGCTCACAGGTGAAATGTCTGGCCCTGCGCCCACATTCACTGAGACGCGTCTACACGGGTGGAACGTCCAGTCCTGCGCTTATGTTCACTGAGACGCGTCTACACGGGCGGAATGTCCAGTCCTGTGCCCACGTTCACTGAGATGTGTCTACACAAGGCCTGTGGTGACAACCGGTGCGCATGTTGCCATTAAATATTTGAAGTTCTCTGTCTCGTTGCCAGTTCTCACGCTCACCTGCCTGATGTGGCTGCGCCTGGACAGCAGCAGTGAGCGTGCAGGGAAGAGCTGTTGCACCTGGCAAAGGAACACTGCTATGCTTTCTCTCTTGTCCCAAAAGCTAACAGTGTAGTAAAAAAACAAAACACATTTGATGTAGGAAGAGTCAAACGAAGCCAGAAATAAACCATCTGGTTGAAAATAAAAATGTTGGGTTTTGTTCACTCTTGGACACAGAATTTGTTTACTTCCTCAACATCTTGCATTTGTATAGGGTTTCAGAGGTTCCACATAAGCTGTCTCCACTCACATTTCATTAATTCTCACTATAATCCTATGAAACAGACAGCCCTGCTTTTTACACAAAATGAGAGAACCGAAGCTCAGGTTGTTGTCAGGGCCAGAGCACAGCTGATTAAATTTTCTTCTCTGTGTTAACCTAAATAACTAATGCTCACATCTGATCTAGGCCTGGGGAAGAGGGACTTGGGAGGCGCTGGTCCAGCTCGTCCTGTACAGTCTGCACCCCGGCTCCCAGGTGCCAGCTGCTCCCAGCAGTCCTCTGCGTGCACACCTCAGCCGAGCATGGACAGCGATGCCTGTGCTCTGCTGGGTTTCACTTTCTGGCTCATGGCCTCATCTCATCAGTTGCCAGATGGCACATATAGTCCAAGAATGGGAATTTACAGTAAAGGAGAAACGCCAGTCTGATGTGGTTGTCATTCTTACTTTCCGGGGGGTTTACTAAGAACACTGCCACCACCACCACTAATGATGATGATGACAAAGACACCTCTACATGAACTCTCTTCAACTCCCTTCCCGACACTTATCCCCAATCCCGACAGGACGGGAGAGGAAGAATGCCCAGAGCAGGGAGTGAACTAGCAACTAGAACCAGGCGAAAGGGCAGGGGAAGCAGAAACTCATGAAACTGCGGGAAGGGGAAAAGGGCCTCCAGGCCGGGTGCCATCTCATCATGTGAAACTGTCTCCTCGGGTCCCTTGCTGTACATGTCCTCTAGGCCGTAAAAATCACTGTATTCATGATATTTCATGAATCAGGAACCCCGTGGCCCCCTGAATCCTGACTGTACCTGTTATAATAAGCATTAACTGAAACCTGCTGAGAGCAGGTGCCCTGTGAGCAGCAGGCGTCAGAGCTGGTAGGAGAGGCCAGGGAGCTCCCAGGGCCCCATCAGGGTGGGTACTGTGAGTGGCTGGCTGGGTCCGAACAGGCTGCAGTGGGAGCAGGGAGGAGGGCACCTAGGCCGCCTTGGTCAAAGGCTCACCTCACCCCAAGGGCTACTGCAAGTCCCTAATATGCACAGCATGTGGCTGAGCCAAGCGGCCTGGTGTGGGGCTGAGTGACCTAAGGCCTGAGGTTTTCAGGCTGAGTGAAGGAAGGATGAGAAGCCAAGAAGTTCAGGGTGTTGGTGAGGGTGACTGACACATGCTCCCTGGGATTTAGATGAGAGGACTTGGAAAGAAAGATGGGATGGAGGAGCTGCAAGGCTCAGCAATGACGCCACAGAACCGGAAACAAGGCCCTGGGAGAGCTGTGAGGCTGGGAGTGGTTGGAGGGGCCATGAGGGCCTGGTTTCAGGATCCTCCATAGTCCGACCTCCCAAGGGCTGCCCAACTGCCTCTCCTCTTTATTATCCCGCCCTATCTCCTGTTCAAATCCTACCCATCCTACAAGGCCGAGTGCAGACTCTCTCAGCTCGCTGGGATCTCTCTGTGGGGTCTCCAGCCCCTGGTAAGACAGACTCACTAGGAGTTTTGAGCATTCCCATTTCCTGTCCAATGACAGTGTGACTCCTCCAGAGCACAGACCTTACCACTCACACGCTGAGCACAGTGGCAACGCACAGATGCTTAAGAAACATTCACAATGGCCCAGCCGGGTGTGGCTCAGCGGTTGAGCGTCAACCTAGGATACAGGCAATCGGGGTTCGATTCCCGGTCAGGGCTCATGCCCGGTTGCGGGCTGCAGCCGATCAATGACTCTCTCATCACTGATGTTTCTGTCTCTCTCTCCCTCTCCTTGAAGTCAATAAAGATATATTTTTTAAAAACCTGTTTTAAAAATAATAATAATAATAATTATGGTCGAATCTTAACCCTTTGCGGTCGTTTGCCTACTCTCAGCCACCAAAGCTTTTTTACCGTTCTGGTCGTATGTCTGCTCTCAGCCACCACAGCAAGGAACCGTATGAATCTTAACTCCATTCATGTATCAGTTCATAATTTCTCTGAAAGCTCTTAATTCCAACCAGTACGACACCCATGTCCAAATTTAATACGACCGCAAAGGGTTAAATCTTGTCATCCACAGTGCCCTTGAGAACCAGGATTCTCAATGTGGAAGAAAACAGCTACAGATACAATCTAGAAGAGGTTAAGAAAAACCCTGTAGTCAAGAATTTGAACCGGAAATATCAACAAAAACTCAAGTGTTCCTAGCTCTGAGCATCCCTAGTGCTAAGACTGTGGTCCTGCAATACCATTTTCCACAGAAAGAAACCAGGGCTCAATGGAGAAATGGCTGGTTCTAGTCTGAGGCAGGAAATATACCTGAACCCAAATACACCTTGTCATACCCGAGAGCAAGGAAGCTACTAGGATCGTGTTAAAAGGACCGGGGGCCAACTGGAAGAGGTTCCTGTGGGCCGAAGACGGGACTCAGCGCTACAATGAGTATAATAATTATAGCCGATTGAGACCCGTGAGTTTGTAATGATATTAAAAAACTAAAAATGAATTAGTCCCCTTCCAGGGCTGATAAGAAATCAATCTGCTATCCTGACAACTACTAAGTAAGGGTAAGACCCAAGCATCTCTCCTGACTTTCCTTTATGAAATGTACCACTGGGCAAACTAAAGAGTAGATGAGGGAAGCATTTTTTGTAAGTACTCAACTAAC